CGATTTGGCCCATGGACTATAGTTTGCTGCCCCTGGTCTAGGCTATAATAGATGGAATATATTAATAGTTGCCTTAAATATGTATGCCCAAAAGTTCTGTAAGTCTACAGAGATCAGAAGGAGCTATTTTAATGGAAAACTTCATGAAGGAGGTGACATTTGAGCTGATTTGAAGACTGGGGCTTTAGTAGATGGGGCGGAGATCCACCCTGGGGCCCTTTTGAGAGTAAAAGGACGTATTGTTAGGTGTATACCCTGGCTATCCCATGCAAATTAGCACACATAGTTACCCCTGAAGGGGAAATGTAGAGGTGCCATGTGCAGAGAGCTCCAAGTGTGGTCAAGGGAGAGTGCACTACGTGTCAACAAATTAACAAATTGATTAAAGAACCCTAAGAAGGAATAGTGGGAGATAAAGCTACAAAAATAGTCTAGGGCTTGAATGACGACTGAACTTGTAGGTTCTTAAACATGAAGCTAAGATATTTAGAAATTATTAAATAGGTGATGGAGAGGTGCTGCAATTTTTTAAACTGTAAATTAGCGTCATCACAAGTCAGTGATATCAGTGATGTGCAGAATGAAATGGATCTGGAAGAGACTCCCAACAGAAGCCCAGTTAAGAGACCGTGGCAATAGTCTGAAGAGAGGATAAGAAAACCTGGACTGAATCTAGGCAATAATGAAAAGGAAGGGTTGGATGAAAGACACATCAGAGAGAAGAAGTCAAGAGAACTTGTCAATCGAACATAAAAGATAGGCTAAGAAAAAGGGAAAGTCAAAGGCAACTCCCAACATTTTAAGTCTAGGTTACTATAGCCATACTATATTTGTGGATTAGAGAGAGAAAGAAAAGGGAAATCTGCAAATGCACATGTAGTTGGAATCCTATTCTTATTGTAATTTGGAAAACATATATAAGGTAGCAATAGTACTTCTGTAGTTTAACTTTGAAAACACTTTTATGCCAGGGCAGTTCAATCTGAATAAAGTTTTATGTGGCTCTCTGATAAATGTGAGTGTGAGCAGCTTGTTTTGCAAAAGTGGGGCTTTGATTTGGAGGGAGAGTAGAGAGAAAGTTAGGCGTAGTTCTCTGTAACTATTCTTTCTGTCTTCTCTCTGGGATCCAATAGGATGCAACTCGTTTTTAGCTTAGTACAAGGGTTCTCAGTGCCTGCTGTGAAAGTAAAAATGAATTCACCTGAGGAAAAGGTTTAGTTATGACAGACCTCTAGCTAGAATATGATTCAGAATGAGTTCCAGCTATGGGTTTGTCTCACTCGGTATCTCAATAACTGTCTTGAGAGTTTTAAAAATTATTCAAATTAAATCCTTGATTCTTAAAAAATAACTCGTTTCCTATAGAATGTTTAGATTTGTGACAGATACCCTGAAATCAAAAGGAAAAAAAAAAAAAGGTTCTACAACTTCTACAAATTTGAATTTAGTTTCTACTGTGTTCCTTGACTCACAAAATGGTGCCTAAGCTTTATTTTATATTTTGTTCCTCAAATTCAACTTTCCAATAACTTTCTAAGCACTATTTTTTATGGCGAGAATATATCTGAGGAAAGGGAGAGAAACAGGTAAATTAATGGAAAAAATAGAATTAATTATCTGAAAATACACACACACATGCACACTTATTTTTTTTTTTTGTAAGACACAGTCTCACTCTGTTGCCTGGGCTAGACTGCCGTGGCATCAGCCTAGCTCACAGCAACCTCAAACTCCTGGGCTCAAGCAATCCTTCTGCCTTAGCCTCGCGAGAAGCTGGGACTACAGGCATGCAACACCATGCCCGGCTAAATTTTTCTCTATATATATTTTTTTAGTTGTCTAGCTAATTTCTTTCTATTTTTAGTACATACGGGGTCTCACTCTTGCTCAGGCTGGTCTCGAACTCCTGACCTCAAGCACTCCTCCCACCTCGGCCTCCCAGAGTGCTAGGATTACAGGTGTGACACACCACGCCCAGCCCTATCACACCTATTTTTAAAAGAAAATTTCTCATACAATAAAGGGAATCAAATTACTACATAAACAAATTTAGAAATACTAATGGTTCCTTCTACTTGAGACTCTTGAACTCTCCATTTGTAATTTTCAATTTATTCAACATCCTTCTGTTTTTAAACAAGACAGAATTAACCAGTCTGGCCATGGGGTATGGCCTGCTATTTCTCTAAAGCAGTGTACCAGAAAAACAAAGTAGACTTGAATATATTATCCTCCTTAGTCCCATAATAGAACCCCCAAACACCTTCAGTTGTGAATTATTGAGAAATGCTCTCCCACCGTGGTGAGAGGCTGCTGGGGATGGTTGTGGGCACAGTGCAGTCCCCGATGCTTTACTGTGTCCTTGGCACCAAAAATGAAAGAGAAATCATAGTGTAAAACCCCACGTGGAAATTCAAACTGATGCTCATTCATCAGTGCCAATAGTCAAGGAATACGGGTTTTAGTTTTTAAAAAATTTCTATTTGGGCTTTGCTTTTTTCCTTGTGCTCCATCCTTTAAAATTGATAAGTTTCTTTCATTCATCTTTCTAGATTTTTACCTCTAACTGTGCTGACTATATAACATTATAAGTAACATTAAGTCATTATAAATACAATAGTTCCCCCAGTATCTATGGTTTTGGTGTCTGTCTGAGGTTTCAGTTACCTGCAGTCATGTGAGGCCCAAAAATATGAAATGAAAAATTCCAGAAACAAACAATTCATAAGTTTCAAATTGCCCACTGCTTTGAAACATCATGCAGTCAAGCTCCACCCAGCCCAGGACATGAATCATCCCTCTGTCCGGCGTCTCCATGCTGTGTATTCCTCCTGTCCCTTTGTCACTTAGCAGTTGTCTTAGCTATCAGATCAACTATCCTGGTATCGCAGTGCTTGTGTTCAAGTCACACTTATTTTGCTTGTTAGTAAGGCCCCAAAGTGCAAGGCTAGTGATGCCAGCACATTGTTATAATTGTTCTATTTTAGTGTTAATTATGGTTGTTAGTCTCTTGTTGTGCTTAATTTATAAATTAAATTTTATCATAGATATGCATGTATAGGAAAAAACGTAGTGTATATAGGGTTCGGTGCTATCTGCAGTTTTACACATCCACCGGGGGTCTTGGACTGTGTCCCACAGGAATAAGGGGAGACTGCTGTATGCATTATCGTATGTATGAGATATGAATATATAGATAGAAACATATAACATTAGAGATGTTTGTAAGGACAGGATGGCGAGCCAACCTGACTGTTGCTTCTGATCACATCCCTCTCTTCCTCTTCCTGGGAGTTATAATTACACACAAGGGTTTTGACAACTGCGAGATTTCTAATTAAAGCCCACCAATGTTACAGTGTTCTCTTCTTTAGTTTTGTACCTGCAGGCACTTCTTATTAGGTGTTGGGCTATTTAACGACTTCTCTGACAGGAGGGAACCTGATCTTGAGTAGGAGGTGTCAGAACGCACATGAAGCAGACACTCTCCTCACATCCAAGCAGGTTTGCTTTCAACAGTTAAGTTTTCTTAACCAAAGAAAATTATGGTGCCTGCTTTTGTCTCTTATTATTATTATTATGCATATAATTCTTAAATTGAAATTAAATTAAAAATTCCTGGTTTGAAACTGAATTTAAACATTTGATAGTTTGTTTCTGGATTGACCGCAATTAACTTTCTCTGTGAAGGATCCATTTCCTGCTGTGAGGTGAAGAATTATAGGAATGTGTGTGATTAATTTTAGATATAGCTGTTTTGGAACTATACAGAAAATTGTAATCATATTAACATAACCCAATGAAAAAGGTTAGGCATTGGAGACTTTGATATTTGCCTGCCTCTGCAGCTACCTCTCTCATGCACCTTACATAAGTCAACTCACCTTACTACCCCTAATAATCTAACGGTATCCTTAGGAAACTCACAGAATTATCTAAATGAAAGCAATAAAGGCATAACAGGGCTTTATGAATGAAAAGTATTACTGTGTCTGTAACTGTGCAATTATTATTCATTATTGCTACAATTACCACCACTAACAATAGTGTGTAACCTACCTGTGCTCAAAGCTTAAAACATATCTGTATGCCCTCAAGAGATCAAGACCATTTTGCTATAAAAATTCTCATGTGCAATTTTTAATCCTGTCAAATCGGTTGATTTTTTTTCTTTACTAGTAGATTCTTCATTAAGTTTCAGATAAAGAATGACAGTATTGCTGCTCAATACTTTCAAGTATTGCTGCTCAATTATCTTTCAAGACATAGCTCTGACCTTCCAAACCACTTATAAGCTGAATGAGATATAATACTGGGAATAGGAAATACTGTAACTGAAAACCTAGAGTATCCCTGCTGGATCCTAGTGTGGTTTGTGACCTTTAGTAACTCATTGAGTCTGAGTCAAATTTTCTCCAAACCTAATTTGACAATATCTATTAATAGCTTACAGGATAGCTGGAAAAATCAGTTTTGAGGCATTTTATTTTTTTAATACTTTATGTACATTGTTGTTGAATCATTGTAATTCAACTCCCACAGAAAGCTAATGTCAATCTTTTATTTAATAATATTACTCTCACCATGTGTATGTAGAAAGAAAATGGAGAAGGGGGAGTGGGAAATGGCTGGTTATTTTATGCCATGGGTTAGGGAGGCATGAAGAGGAAAATCATAAAATCAAAAAGCTTAAATTACAATTTCAAATTTTAAAAAAATAGCTACTTGATGTTGGCGTACTCTAGTCTGTAAAAATATGTTACAAATAAAGAACCGAGAGAGTAATACTAAGAATTCTGAAGGAGCTTCTTTATGGAACTATGACCTCTCAATGGCTGCTAAAGTCTGATTGCAAAAATACATCTGATCTACCTTTCAGAATTATTATATATAAAATAGCACATCACTACTATTATCTTTTTCTCCCTTCCTTTATTTTGTGCAGTAAATAAGAAGTCATTTTGGAACTCTTTTAATTCTTTATTCTTTTTTGTCTTTAGGAATTGTACAGATATTCTGTGCTGCATTATCTTCCTACTGTTCATTATTGGCTACATTCTTTTAGGACTTGTGGGTGAGTAAATACAGGTAGAGAAAATATTTAACATTTGATAATGAAATAACTAAGTCAATGTCACGTATTAAAAATTAATTATCTTTTTTCCAAAAGCCTTATTATTGATTGTTGTCTTTTCCCGAGGGAATGTATCTCACCAGGACATACTGGGTAGAGGGCACAGTAAAAAAATAAACACACACCAGTTTTATCAAAGGCAAGCCCAAATTACTTAAGTAAATGCAATTATAAGGAAGAAAGAGAAAAGCTTATAGTTTCTTTTTAATCATTTTTACTTTTGGAATTCTATTAAGCAGTTAATTATGTTCATGTTGTTATTTACCAGTAAGAACTAGAGCCTAGGTCAGATATACAAACCATTCTTTATATATGGAAATTTAAAAAGAAGGAACAATTATTAAGTATTTCACTAGATAATTCATTGACATATAAGAAGTCCTAGTCTCTTTGCCCACCAGAAAGAGATACCCTGTTTTTCATTGTTAACCTAAATATTTTTCTATAAAAATAAAAACAAAGAGGACAAATAACAGAGATTCTTTATTTGGATTTTTAAAAACTATCAAAGGAACTAATGTGAATATTTTCTGTAAAAAGATTTCACAATTGTATGTGAATGTATCACACATTTTTCCCCAGAGACATAAGTAGCGTTTGTTATTGTTGACTTAGGAAACTTTGATATGTTGTTATTAGGATGAAGGTTGTGAAAGTCAGATATTAGCTTCCAGTGCCGATAATTAGTGGCATGGAGTTAACGTGGATAGAATGTGTTAGCAGAAAGGAAGCTGTGCACTACCTAAGGAATAACGGAAAACATTTTTCCCTATTCTTCAGTTGTAACTTCCAATAAGAGAAATACTTTGAGAATAGCAATTGAAAGTAATTTCCAAAAAATAATCTCTATATTGCCATGTAAAAATTACACAGAATTGGAGAATTGAAAAGCTTAATACAGGAAAATAAGGAAGGAGAGAAAAATAAAGGAGCATAAATGACAAAACTAAATACTATACTTTTCTAAGGCTTTCAGAGCATTCTTCTATTATATCTTAAAGTATTTTAACTTCTAAACATTAATGTAGTTGTAGCACAATACACAATCGGTAAATTGACTATTACAATAAAATGAATTTTTTATACAACAAATAAAATTTTAGATCCTCTAACTTTGAGACACATCTTTCTTTTTTATTTTTTTTATTTTTATAGACTTAGGAGGTACAAGTGCCATTTTGTTACCTGGCTAGATGGGGCAGTGGTGAAGTCTGGGCATTTAGGGAATCTATCACCTGAATAATGTGATGGATACATTGTACTCGATACATTTTGTTTGTTTTTACTTTTTGTCATAGAATTGAAATTTGCTGCATAAGAGAAAGAAGATTTGGAATCGATCAGATCTAGAGTTTCCTTATATTGTTTGGTGGGCTTGAGGTGGTTACTTAACCTCAGTTTTCCCACCTGGAAAATGTGGAAGCACTACCCAGTGGGTAGTGAAAGTGAGGAGTAAATGAAATAATACCCAGCTGCACCGATAATGCTACATAATAGTACTGGGCAGTATTTTGTTTGATACCATCATATAATTTAGTTTTTCTGAATTTTAACACATTTCTTTTAAATATAATTTACTATATTGTTTCTCTGGCAACTCATAATTTGGGTTATTAAAGTTTGAATGTGCACAGGAACTTCACAAGGATTTCATCCTGTGACCAGAATCTTTTCACTAGGAGGCCTTATTTTATCTTCAGATAAGTCTCTCCTCCATATCTCCCTATCTCAAGCTCTGATGTAGTCCTCAGAGAAATGCTTTTTGTCCTTACACAGAGTGGGAAAAAGCCACGACCACTCTCCTATAGACACAATAGAGGAGGGGACATGCCATCATTTCCTCTGGTGCAAGATGAGAAATTTGCCTTTTTGTTCAAGATCTCCATATTCAGTTTGTAAATGTCTTAATTCCCATAAGGAAATTGGAGGATAAATATTCCTCAAAGAATAGCTGTGTCCGATATCAGATTAATTCAGTGATACCCCTAAATTAATTCCATTGCCACTTATTAAAATGAGTGACTCACAAAATTCACTAAATACATATATTCTCATCATCCTTGAACTACAGATATCCTTACTGGCTTGTTTTCAAGATAAATTTAACTCTTCAATTATATCCAATGTCAGACTAAAAGAAGCATGGAGGAAAACGAATGGCAGACGTTACCAGAAGTGCTAAGAATTTTTTAACATGAATATATACTTTTGACTTGAGGAAAGATGATGCTAAGTCAGTTTCACTGATGTGTTATAAGTATTTTGGCACCATGGAAGAATCATGTCTCAGGGTAGGCCTTGAATACAACAAAGACACTTAACATTAGGCTGATGAAAAGCAGAAACTCTGTTCAAGTGAATTAAGTAGAGTCTGAGTAGAAGGGAATCAAATATTCTTGCAAGATAAAACTAACATTTATGATAATAGGCCTCTTTTGTCCTACTTTAGTGATGGTTGCTATTCAATTATAATACAAACTAGAAAAAAGAAAAGGAATATTTATTATGCAAATTATTTGTTGCTATCTTTTTGCTAACATTATGTATACAATAATATGTAATTTTAATGTTCAGTACATTTTTATTTCATTTTCTTTCTAAATGGATTTCCAATTGAGCAATTTAGTTTATTTTTTAATTCAAAATATTAAGGGGGTACAAATGATTTTGTTACATGGATACCTTTTGTAATGCTTGAGTCAGGGTTTTAGTGTGCCCACCACCTGAATAGTGTTCCTTGTATCTGTTAGGTAGGTTTTTACCCCTCCCCTCTACCCCCTTTTCCCTTCTACATTTCCTATGATCTTTATATCTCTTTGTGCCCATGTGTGTGCCCATTGATTAGCTCCAAGTTATTATAGAGCACATGTGGTGTTTGTTTTTCCATTCCTGATATACTTCACTTAGGATAATAGTATTAAATTTCATCCAAGTTGCTGCAAAAGACCATATGTCATTCCTTTTTATGGCTTAGTAGTACTCCATGGTATATACATACACACCACATTTTCTTAATCCATTCATGAAGTAATGGGCACTTAGGTTGATCCCACATCTTTGCAATTGTGAGTTGTGTTGCAATAAACATTCAAGTGCAGATGTCTTTTTGATAAAATGACTTCTTTTACTTTGGGTAGATAACCAGTAGTGGGATTGCCAGGTTGAATGGTACATCTACATTTATTTCTTTGAGGAATCTTCATAGTCTTTTCAATAGAGGTTGTACTACTTTGCAGTCCCACCAACAATGTAGAAGCGTTCCTTTCTCTCTGCATCTTCTTGGCACTTTTTAACTGCATCCTCTGCATCAAGCACAAAAATATGTTGTTGAATTATTTAGATAATTTACTGATAAAGTAAACAGACCAGTCTTAACTGGACATTACTTCTCTTCTATATTCTATAACAAACTTTATCCTAGGAAGAAAGATTCCACACCCCATGCTTCCTGCTCTTATATCGTCTTTCCCCAAGCAGGTTCGTGATTGCTTCCCTAATAGAGAAATGAACCAAGCCAAAGCAGACCAGTAAAGGGCTTTGACGTGCAGGTAATCTGTAGATCAGTAAAAAAGATTAAAGGAATTCCATTCTGACTCAACTGGAGACAGTAGATCTGAAAGTACCAAGTATAGAAGGAAAGAAGGAGGTTTACATAATTCAGCCTTAAATCCTTTGTTGAACGAGGTAGAGATGAAACAAAATAGTTAACAATAAAGTGATCAAACCTGACCCCATCATTTCTATTATTAAAGTATATGTTGTCTTGTGGCATTAATACAGTCACATGTCTATTTTTCCATTCTTGCTTAAGGGAATCTGGCATATCACACTCTTTCCTGACCTGAACTGTCCCAAAACACCAAGCAGTCTTATTGCCAATTTCTAGGTATCATTTCATGGTCTATTGCTCACCTGGATCTTTCCACTACTGTAGTGGCTTCCTACAGTAGGATACATGATTATTTACTTATCTGTTTGTTTGCTTGTTTTGGGAAAAGATAAGTCTTTATATAAAGCCAGCATTTCCAAAGGTGTCTCATTCTGCAAATAAGAAGAAAATGGTTTACTTCTCAGGATCCAGTATGGGATTTGCCTTCTTTAGATTTTTGAAGAGTTGCTTGATCATATTACTTGTAAAATCTTGTTTGTTCTTAATGAAATCCAATATTTAGTCTCTTATTTCCAGAACTTCTGAGATTTTATTTATGGTATGAACCCAACCAAAAAGAAAAGTCGTATGTAACACCAGGGATATGGTATTATTCCTTTTCCACTCTGAAAATGGAGTAGCAGCTGTGTTTTTCTACATAGACTTGTCTTCTTAAAGTCTAATTTTCAGACTTAAAGTTGTATAGCATTCTGTATTCTCCTTGGTTAGCAAGGGGATAACTTGAGGAGGGATGTCCTTTGTGTATTCTATTTCCTTAGCATACTTCTTGTTTTCATTTTTAGTAGCCAACGGTCTTTACATCTTAGTGTACCTGATCTGAAGATGAGCTGGCATTTGGCCAACTGCACTTGATGCACTTGCTAGCTGGGGTGCTTGGTCCTACTGATCCAAAGTTCTCTTAAACTTCCAGCTGGATGATGCTATTTGAGGAGCAGACTATGCCATGATGCTATCCATTGGTCCACCCCCGACCAAACAGCTTTGTTTCCCTTTGGGATTTATCCATCTGGCATGTATGAAAAAAGTCAGTTTCCCGTCTCACTCCTTGCTGCCTTTGCATATATTTCCACCCTCTATTCAGAGCCTGGAAAAATCATGACTATAGTTTTTTAAGCCTTTAAGCAGTGCTCAGCCATTGTTCCCCAAAGCATGACCAGTGTCAGAATGGCTGCATCCAAGGTGGCTTCTTGCTTTATAAGAACCAGCCTTTACTCTTAGACCCTGCTATTAAGCCCCTAAGACACCAGCCCAGTACCCACCCCCTTCAAAA